ATTGTTAGTGTAAAATTATATATACAAATATAAACTGTTAGTATAATATATATATATATATAATGTTAGTATAAGATAAACTATTAATATAATATATATGTCACGTCTCACAACTCAATAATGAGGCGTAATTCCTGCTCACACCATTTTCATACAGTGGGTCCATTAAATATATATATATACATATATAAAAAATATAATACAATATAGTATTCTATGTGATATGTACAATAATTATATATACAAAACATGATGTCAGAATTTAGAGTCTAACAGAACAAAATAAATTTTTTCAAATATGCACAAAATATACAAAAACAAAAACATTTCTTACATGTTCTACTCGTCTGGCAGTGGTGCTGACTCTTCATTCTCTTCTGAAAAATATCATAATAAAATTTAATGAGCATCACCAACTCAATAAGTATTCCTGTTCTCTCAACCCAGATAAAATTTCATGCAAAACACACGGTAAGAGACAAAAATAATAAAAATATTTCAGTGTAAAATTCATGTTCTTATTTTCACTATTTCACATGTTCCTAATCGATCTTATAAATTTTCTCGAATATCATATACAAACCTCAAATGTATATTTCCATACTCTTGAAATTCATAAATACACTCGAATATTATTCATCATCTTTAAACATAATCACACACACACAAAAGATTACAGATACACTCGAATATCATTTATCATCTCGAAATATAATCACATACACATGAAAGATCACTTATACACTCGAAAGGTCATTTCTATGGTTTCATTGCGCGATGCCATTTATGTCATCATCGAGGAAAAGCGAAATGCATTCCCCAATCGCATGGATAACACACACATGAATCACACAATGGGCACAGCAGGTATGTTTGCTAGGTGACCCACACTCACACGAATGCCTATTTACATCTGGATTAGGTTTCGGACTCTATCCATATGCAGGTTCACTATGCTCGCTGAACTTCAGCCGCACACACACACTCCCCTCCTTGATTCAAACTAAACGAGAAGGGATTCAGGGTCCTTACCCTATTTACTCCTACCCTCTCATTCCAAAATTCTTAATTTATTTAAATGATCATTGCTTAACCTCAATTATTTCTTTTTCTTTCTATTTTTTACCTTTTTATTTTATTTCTTTTTCTTTTTAAACTTTTCCTTAATTGAGACTTTTCTTTTTCAATTTTATATTTCATCATTCCAAATAACTCTCAGTTTATTGGGTTTGCTTTTTGGTTTCATCTCTTCATAGGGTTCCAATTGCTTAGATTTACTGATCATAGTTTGAGTTCCATTTTTCATCAAAAGTTGGATTAATGTCCGTTCAAATTTTAAAATTCATCATTTAATGAAATAAATGCACTTTTTGAAATTCAAACTCGGTTGAGAGCTAAAAATACTTACACTCCTATGCATCTTTCCAGATTTGCCTAAATGTCCAAATTTTTCTGTACACACGACATAATTAATTAAAATATTTCGAAATACTAAAAATTAATTTAATCAAATTATGAGTTCCAATGACCACCTAACGGAATACTCAAAATTATCAAGATCCGTACCCAAAAAAGCTTTTGACTGCCCATTCGGCAAATCAGATTCCTATTTTTTGAGAAAAACTTCTTAGCTTTCCAGACGATAAATCGAATTTTCATTTTTCATGGAAAATTTTTTAGCTTTTAGAACGGTGCATCGAAACTCCAAAATGGTGGATCAGGTTCCCATGCTCGGGGAAGACCCTTCAACTTCCTAAATGGATCGACTTTCTCCATTCCTGGGAAAACCTCCTCGATTCTTGCACAGGTAACTGGCCCAGTCGAGCTCACGTGGCTAGCCCGACACTGGCCCTGTTCCCCAATGCTCAATAACCAACAAAAACACACAAAAAGCTTTATCTTTCCAGCGTGGGGCGATTTAGCCTCAGTTTGGATCCCGGTGGTCTCCTCTCAGCCACCCTGCAGCTCCCTACCTTGCTTCGAAGTTTGGACAACAGATTTCACACCTACATGCCGATTAGTGTGAAATAAGAAAAGGGATTTTTGGAAAATAGAGATGAAAAGAATGAAAAAGATGAAACTTACCTTATTTTTTTCAGATTCTATGGTCACACGGTGCTCCTTGATCGCGATTTCCTTTCCTTCCCCTTCCCTTCGGCTTCTGCCTCCGTGATACCTCCTCCTCTCTTCTTTGGCCGCGTTTTCTTCTTTCATTCTGGCTCCCTTGCTCGTCTCTCCCTCATGCGGCATTCCCTTCTCGTTCTCGACTCGAATCCTCCTCAATCTTGGCCTCTTCTCTCACCCGATCGGCTCCTCTCCTCTCTCTCATTTTCGGCTTCTCTTTTCAAAACAAAGAAGGAAATCCTAATTATTTCCTTAAATACCCACCTTTTTGGCCATTGGATCTTACAATGTTCAATCTGGACCGTCCATTCTCTTGATTTTCTTTGTCCCCTTCCAATTTTCCTTATTTATATTTTTGCTATCTTTTTTCTTATCCACTTTCATTTAGGTCCCTTAAATTAATTAAAAGTCCCAAATTTTAAAAAATTTCTTTCACTTACATTCAAACTCCAAATTTTATTTTTTTTTATTTTTTTTTCTTTAGGTAGATGTTACAATATATATATATATATAAACTATTAGTAATAATATATATATATATATATAAATTATCAATAGAATTCAAAAATATGTGAATTCAGCCTTACTCTGATACCAAATGTAAGAAATTTTTATACTGAAATCATCTTTTTATCAAATTCAACACATATTAAGAAAGGAAAGATAATAAAAAGTTAGAATTATATACCGTTATGAGATGATGCAGTCATAGCGTGATTGAGAGATCTCTTAAAAAAATTCTTAATTCTTTGACTCACTTCTTCTCTCTATCTAACTATTCTGCACAAAATTTTATAAATTTAGTTGATGAAAGACAAGTTGAAATGAGAATTTGTGCTCTTTTTATATATGAGAGGAGATGTTAAAACACATTCAAGGTAATTGAATGTGTTGATAATCGTTTCTATTATTGTAGTTTAGTAGCCGTAAAATATAATAATTTTATAATTTATTTTAAGGTTATCTACTCCATCAATGTACATTTTTTTTATAACGGTTATCTATTAATTTGGGTATCCTTTAAATTGACTTCAACCATTATAAGTGGATGAGAAAATAAATTACTAAATTAATGAATAATCCACTTAATTGCTGAAATTAGCAGTAACGTATCTAAATCTTGAGCCTCGAGTGTTATATGAATTGTTATGATTTACATTATAATTTTTTATGATACATAATAATATTATTTTATATTTTATAAAAAAATTTTAAACTATTACTTAGTTATGAGTAGTAAAATTTTACCTCCTCTTAATGCAAGACCGAATTGTGATTAATTATATGGCAAATTATAGTTTATCTCATAAAATTTTTTGTGCTAAACAAAAGCTTCTCTATTAATGAACACTTTATTTTCTATATTAGGAAAGAAAATATATGTTTTAAATATGATAATTAAATAACCAATAGATGCAAATTCTTATTTTGTAATTGAAATAGGTACTTTTATCTTTTATTCTTTAACAACTAAGAATACAAAATCTGTAGTCATGAAACTGAATACACAATCTAATTATATAATAAATAAGTAATTAATTTTAATATTTTACGTGTATATTAAATAATTAAATTAATAAAAATAAAATAAATTTGAATCACCCTCAATATTAAGTATATATAATTAGTTGATTCCATCTCCTCAGCAAAATTATTCAGGACTGTACCAATATTATATAAACATTACCAAATGAAGATCTCTAAGAGGATTGAGTTGCTAATTAATATAAGGAAAATATCAATATATCATACAATATGATCCATGTTAACTGACTTAGTACATAATTTATTTCTAACAAGAAAAGAAGAAGAAAAGATAAAGATTTGCTTGGCTGTTTCGAATCTTTCCTCACTCTATGTATATACATACATGTATATATATAATAATTCAGGAGGTTCTATTAATAATTCAGCGGATGGATTGTTTAGGGTGGCATCATAGACACATAAACAGGGATATATACAGATCTTCATATATATGACGCGTATTGACAACTCGTGCTCCACCAAATTAAATATTAATTAATTATTATTTTGCTCAGTATTTGAGGCCTTTTTTCTTAAGTATATAGATATATGTGCGTGTGTGTACTACGCAATATCTCATGTTTGGAGGCTTGCAGCTTCTAAATATTCCTGGCTATGCATGTATGATATTTGAGATTGGTAATTTTTCCCGATCCCAATGGATCATTAAATTTTAGTTTTACCTGAGGTATATATATGTATATCTCTTATCTCTCCATGTTTATGCGCTCATGTATAGAGAATACATATGGATATATACATGCAAATATATACAAAGATCAACTAAGCAACTGTGATGTGATATGAAATGTAATATTATATTGAAATAGAAATAGAAATAGCAATGTATATATACATAATGTTACATAAAGCAAGCTCACCCAGTTTGAAGAAGCAACTAACAATTATCTTCTCTAACTCAGCCCTTTAATTACCGCAATCTGTATACCTTTTTTGTTATCCAAAGCAGCATTATGATATTTACACTAAACAGATATTTTTCTTGCCTGCAGCTATTACGTAAAAATTAACAAACAATATCATATCATCCAAAGCAGAATTAATGCTTTTACACGCCCGTGTCCATTCTATACGTGTGGATGTGTTTATATATAACTGCCTACAGACTAATCGTCATTCCAACACCAATTAATATGTATATGCATATATGTAGAATGAGATTCTAACATTAATAATGGTATAGGCATATATTTATATCTAAGAGAGAATACATATATAGAGTCAGATAGTTATTTTCCATAAAATATGTTTTACATGAGGGATGAAAATACTCTACTTTATGTGCATGTATGTATTTGTGTAGCTAGCTTGATCTATATTATGAGTAATCAAGCAGAGTGTGCGGTAGTTGTAACTACAAGCTACATATATTGATATATAAGCACAAAGACATACATTTATATATATAGAAGAGAGCTAGATAGGCAACGATCTACCTAGGACATTAATGTGTATATATATAAATATATATATATATGTATGTTTGTGATCATCTATAAATGGTACGTGTAATACATACATATACGCGCACACATAAATTTGCATATGACTAATTTTTTCCAACAGCTAGAATGCATATCGGAAAAAACGAAAAATTAAAAAAAGAAAATAGCAGCAGCTGGTAATGCGCAAATATAACTGACTGTGATCTTCAAAGGCTTATCGAGCAGAAGCTCTCAATACATATATATCATGTTGAAATTTAAAAACAAAGAAATGGAGGACTAAAACTCAACATGTATGTAACTCTAGCCCTTATACTAAATATGTAAAGTAATAAACTTAGCTCCAGTACTAGATTTATACTAAAAAGTGATGAATATTGCTGAAGGTGATTCAAGCGAGCCAGTATCAAACAGACAAAAAATAATAATTTCCGAACGATATATATATATATATATATATATGTATAAGTTAGCATGGTTTTATACATCTTCACAGTACAGTATCCTCAAAAATGGTAAAGAAAGAGGACTTAGTTTGAAGACTTACCAACTTATGCTGAATATACTAAACGATGGCCTATACCACCTGATCAAGATCATGAGTAATAACGAGCATCAAACAGAAAAATATACATAGACGTTTTGGAACTAGAAACATGCATGAGAGACTAGTAGCATATATACATATGCAAAAATACATTCATATATATTCCATTTCATTGATAGCTAGCTAACCTATATATATGTAGATCACATATATATAGCTAAACTAATTTCTCAATCAGAAGAAGCTAAAATCATGAGTTCCAACAATGAAATTTTTTACGAAATGTCAGGTTTTCCAATCCTGACAACTATCAGTTGGTAGTTCCATAATAAGCAGATACATCTGCTTTGAGTTATTTGGACGTTTCATTCCATAATCGAACCTCTTCTGCAATTAGTTTCTGTTGCAACCAGCACGTATCAAAGCCTGTTAACTCATTCACCTGTTGCATATATATAAATAATTTAATTAAGAGAATGCATAAGCAAACCTTAATCATACTTCAAACGAAAAACATGGTAATCAATGCTTAGTACCTCAACTTGCATCTTGTATACTAGTGTTTCATTTAGTCTTGTTGAGACACAGGAAACAACGTTAAGTCCTTGGTCAAGTATTACTTGAAGTGCTCTTGATAAGGGTAAACCCTGTACCCTTAAATGGGTACTAATCACAACCTCAACTCCACATGGACAAGGATTTACCATAACACAACTCGGACTGAAATAGCTGCTTGACGAGTTTATTTCTGAGTCAAATCCAACACTGGATTCACTCAGTTTCTTCAGTTCATCTCTCGTTGCACGTAATCCTTCGACCCTTTGCTTCAAATCTTTTATATAATTCACCGCTCCATTCATGTGATCTGACACTGCACGGTACCCCTGAAAACCCCATCAAACCCTAGAGTCATAATCTATAACCTTTTTCGCCCGGAAAAAAGAAAGAGATCTGGATAGACATGACCAAATTTTCTTGCTAGAGGAAAGTTTGTCTTTTTCTGAAGATTAACTGTAGAAAATACCCGAACTAATTACAGTAATTTGGGAAGAAAATGAAAAAGGTAAAGAAGGTTTTAGTTAATTGTTAACCTTGATATATTCAAGAGGAAGAAGAGTACGAAGAGAGGCATAAAGAGTGGCCATTTCTTGGCGCCTTAGGCGTTCGAGATCTCTATGCAACATCTTCTTCTTATAATCATCATTATCATAATTTTCTCCACTGCTGTCATTGACAGATGATTTTTGCTTCAGCTGGGATTTTCTCATCATGGGGTTGTTGTCGAAACCACCACCTCCGCTATCCATTGAAGTAGGATCCTGATGAATCAGATATTGTGGGATTGTGTTTGGCTCACAGGAAACCTGGAACAACACCTCGTTTATTGGGTATTAAAGCAGGAGTTAACAGGTATTGTTAATTTTTTCTTGTTTGATTTAATTGGAGGAAGGATTAATATTCTTTTTTCTCTTAAAAAAAGAAGAAGAAGAGGGTTTTAATTTGCGATGTTGGACTGAGCCAGCGCGACAATGAAGGCAAAAGTTTTAAAGCAATATTGTGGATACGTTGGTTAGGGTGCGAGATCTTCAATGGGGCCTAATATGCCACAGATCCCTCATAATCTCAAAGCACACATATAGAAGGTGAGAAATCAACTGATCCTTACATATACATATGTATATATACAAAATTAATAATGGTACGTACGTTTCTCGTGTACTAAAGCACAAAAATATAAAATTCAAGTTATTCTTGGACAGAAAATATATACGCTGAACCAACATTTAATCATCAACAACTAAAAAAATGAAAAGGAAAAGCAGAAGAATATGTATGTATATGTATATATATATACAGTGAGATCAGATGAAGTCATTTGGTAGAGCTTTATCAAAATTAATTTGGTATAAATTGAGTCTTATATAATATATGGTGTGCGTGTGTGTGAATTGTTATATAACTAATCTAAATTTTTTTTTTTTAAAAATATATATATGAATATAGATATCTATATATAGTAAGACACTAATTAAGGGCAACACTAAATAATTAATAGGTCACCTTCAAATCCTTACAACCACTCCTTTCTAACTATCCAAATATATCAAAATATATTTGAATCAGATTCCATATGTGATAAGAAAAGAAGGTCTCCCCATCTGGCAAACGCTTAATTAATTAATTTTAAAAAATTCTGTTGGTTTTGATGTTTATATATATATATAGAGAGAGAGAGAGAGACAATCTATGTTAGTTATATTAATTAATAGAAATTCGATTGGATCATCTACATTTATACACACATATATATATATGTATTATACATATGTAGATGATGAGATTATAAAATGAAATGACGAAATAGATTGTTGAAGGAGAAGTTTCAACCATCGTTAATGAAGATTTTGATTCGACTAAATATATTATCTGTGTAGGAAGGAAGGGAAGATTCATGTCGTGGTGGGGGAAAGTGTAGGTGATGATTAGAATCGGGACATTTATACCCTTGTACATATTTAAAAGTTCAAATCTTATTTTTAGTCCATCGTTAATTTGATTATTATCTAGTTTTTTAAACTGAAAAATACATCATCAACTACTAAATTATTCTTATTATAAAAAAAAATAAATAAATAAATTATAAATCTTTCCTCCTGACAAATCATCCTGTATTTAACAAAATAATAAAAAAAACCACGGACCCAAGTTGGAATTAATTGCTTTTTTATTATTATTTTAAAGAAGAAATTTTTATATAATTTAACTGACTGATTAATTAATTTTAACTGCGATGTCACCGACTCAAATGTCAAAAGTTTCAATAGAAAATTTTGAAAAAAAATAATAATAAAATAAAATGATCCAATTATTTAATAATTAATGATGCAGGATTGTGGTTGCTGCTTTCGGATTAACAGAAGCCGCAACACCTACAGTGTCCAAACCAAACGCTGTCTACGTCAACATATTTTTACTTTTAGTCATAATATCATCAAATAAATTTCATATCGAGTGTGACGGTAATTACCATTTTATTAAAAAAGAAAGCTTACAAGTGTTGACCATTAAACGGTTTCATATCGACTGTGTATTACCAACGGCCACGTTTAAAAACTGTCAATATTCAATTTTAATATGTTAATTACACAGCTGTAATCACGTGATTTACAGCTCTTTTTTCTGTCATTACTTTATTATTATTTTTTATTAATTAATTGCTATTTACAATCTGTAACTACTCCCTTACATTCTACTTTTCTCCTTGTACTGCACTCAGTAATAATATCAAGATTACATTAAAAGTCGTTATTAATTTATTTTTCATTTTTTATTCAAATAATACATTTTCAATCTGTATATTTTGGGTTTGGGTTCTGGAAAATTCATGTTGTTTGCGCCCACTTTTTAAGCCTATTAGGATTATAAATTAATATTTTAACATACTATCTTAAATTATTCGTGAGATAACTTGTTAACCACAAAAAGGGAGAAAAAATGAAACTTATGCTGAGAAATCATATCAGACCAATTTCGGTATTTTTTACAATCAGACGACTATTCGTTCTTCGATTAGACTGAAATTTGGTGGCATTTAGATGACTCATTGTTCTTTATTCTGAACGTTGGAGATCGGTTTTAGATGAATGAATTTCTAATGTTTGTAGTTTAAAGTTTAACGTTTATTATTTTTTTACAGCAGTGATCAGTTTATCTTTCTCTTACAATCAAACGGCTATTTGTAGTTCGATTATGCTGAAATTTGATAAACACGTTTAGAATATATTGCTCTTTAATCTGGATGGTGGAGATCATATTTAAACAACCAGAGCTCATCCATTTTGCGTAGCAGTAGCTATTTTAGTGATATTTATTCATTCTCTTGTTTATCTCTTATTGTTTGGTTGATTTGTTGTTGATATTTTTTTTAAGACTATTGTGATAACTTGTAGTGGCTGTAAACATTAATTTTTGATAGTAGAGCTCTTTTACTTGGATCAGTAGAGGTTTTATAGGTTTTATCCTTCACATTGAATGAGTTTTCCACATTAAAAATTCTTATTTCTTTGTGTGATTATTTTTGTGCATTTTGGGATAGGTTTTATGCTATTCATTTGTTGAATTTTACTTAATTTTCACTCTTTATAAATTCATTTTTGTATTGATTTTAGGCTAATTAATCTTGGTTCCTTGTCATCAAAGTGGTATCAAAGATTGGTTCATTAGTTGATTAGTTAATTATAAATTTTTTGCTTGTTTGAATGATGGAGGTGAATGTGAGTAAAATAGTTAATTTGGATGGCATAAATGATCACAAGTGGAAAGGAAAAATGAGGGATCTTCTTGTTGTGAAAAAGTTATATTTACTTGTGTTTGCTTCTAAAAAACTTAAGTCCAAATCCGATGAAAGATTAAAAATTTGAGAATTTACAAGTATCTAGTTTTATTCAGCAATGGATAAAAGTTAATGTATTGAATCATCTTGCTAATGAAATAAATGCCAAAACTTTGTGAGAAAAACTTGAAACTTTGTACGCTTCAAAGACTGAAAATAAGTTATTCTTGTTTAAACAAACTAAACTCTTGTAATATAGATAAGGTAGTTCTATACTTGATTATGTGAATGAATTTTAACGTATTTTTGATCAATTGTCTGGTATAGGTATCAAATTTCGTGAAGATGTTATTGAAATTCGGTTGTTCGACTATCTTTCCTGACTCATGGAAAAACTTTAGAGTATCTTTGACCAATTATGCTTTCGATGGTATTGTAACTATGTAATATGTAAGTACTAGTGTTTTAAATGAAGAGGTGATAAGAAGAGCTCAGGGGACATCTAGTTCACAATCAAAAATTGTGGTTACTGAAAACATGGTGAAAAGGAAAAGTAAGGGTCAAGATCATAATAGACGCAAAAGCAGAAGTAAATCAAAATCGAGGTATAAAAACCTTAATGTCATCACCGTAGTAAACCAGGGCATATCAACAAATATTATTTTAAGTGGAAGAAATAAAACATGGTAGACAAAGAAAAGTAAGAAAAGAAAGCCAATGATAATAATACTGATCGTGTTTCCATGACCACTTTAGATGATAATTTAGTTGTGGTTTATCAAGAGAATATGATTAATGTAAGCTATGATGACACTGTTTGGGTTCCTGACACTGGTACATGCTTTCATATTATATCAAGGAAGAAAATATTCACATCTTATACTCTAGGTGATTTTAAGGTTCTAAAGATGGGTAATTATGGAGTGTCAAATGTGATAGATATTGGAACTATCTATTTAGAGACAAAAAATAAAGTTAGAGCTCAAGAATATTAGACATGCACCGGACATTAGGTTGCATTTGATCTCCACTAGTAAGCTTGATGATGATGGTGATGGTCGTTGCAGCACTTTTGATGATGGAAAATAATATTCAACAAAGGTTATTTAGTTGGGGGTAGAAGAAAGAAGGCTTTGGACTTATATTGGTTGAAAGCTTCAATCTCTACAAATATTTTTAATGCAATTGAAAGTAATAACTCTTCAGAATTATAGTACAAGAGGTTGAGTCATATTAGTGAGAAGGGGCTTAATTATCTAGCTAAAAAAAAATTTCTTTCAGGATTAAAATGTACAAGGTTAGACAAGTGTGTTCATTGTTTAACTAAAAAATAAAAGAGAGTTTCTTTTAAACATCATTCTCTTTGCAGGAACAATTATTTGCTTAAACTGGTACGTTAAGATGTTTATGATCCTTTGAAGGAATAATCATTTGGTGGTGTACTTTAGTTTGTGACTTTTATTGATGATCATTCAAGGAGACTTTGGATTTGTACTTTAAAGTCGAAAGATCAAGTTTTTAGTGCATTTAAAGAATTTTAAGCTTTTACTTAGAGAGAAGCTGGAAAAAAGTTAAAATTTATTCGTATTGATAATGGTGGTGAATATTGCAGGTCTTTTGATGTATATTGCAGAGAACATTAGATCAAACATCAGAAGACACCTCCTAAGACTCTTCGGTTAAATGGTTTGGCAGAAGGGATGAACTAAACATTGATGGAGAGAGTTAGATGCATGTTTTTAGATGTTAACTCACACTATTGCATATGTGATTAATCTATCTCCCTCTACTGCATTAGGAAAGGATGTTCCTAATAGGTTCTGGTATGGTAGGGATGTTTCCTCTTACCACTTATGAGTGTTTGGTTGCAAATTCTTCATGAATGTTCCCAAAGATAAGAGGTCCAAGTTAAATGCAAGATTAGACAGTGTATCTTCATTGGCTATGAGTAAGATGAGTTTAGTTACAGATGCT